ATGACTTGTGGTATACAGGGGGGCATGAAATATTACTCAGTAGTATCTCAGCAGCAGGAAGGGTGTGAAAGCAAAGCAAAGAAAGGCTTCATTTCTGAATTAAGTATTCAATTCTATATTCATGAGCTACATTTCAGTATTGTGTGTGCCCACCACCAGCTTGGTGATAACTCAAAGGCAAGATGGGTAAGGCAAATTTAATTAAAGTACATGCCAACTTAAAAGAGTTCAGAAATGTATTGCAACATGTTCAAAAGAGAGTCCTCAAAAAAACTACTGCCTTGGATGTCCATGAAGCATTAGACTTTCAATATGATATTTCAGCATTAAATCCATGTTTTCACAAATATTGACATTGGGAGAATTTTCCAGCCATTCTGCATAGCTGAGAAAATCAATATTTTTTTTGTCAAAAGCTGCCGAGTGGCATGGGCTTTCAAGCAAGAGACCCCTGTCAAATTCTTCTTGTCCTCTAGTTTTTCTCTCTTTCTTTTTTCTTTTCCCCATTGCCCATTTCCTTTCATGTCTTCTGTTGTGGAGCTAAAAAAAGCTTTTTTTTCCTAAAGTAAGAGAAGTGGAAAGGGGAGGGCCCTGAAAAATTAGGAATTGTCCTTGAACTGTAATTGCCTCTAATGAATGATACTTTTGAGTGATAATACCCTGTTGCCAGTGTATGTGAGGGAAGAGAAACAGCAAAAGAAAGGATCAGGCCAAAGTAACTATGACCTAGGATCACTCAGGAATTAACTTTTGCTGTGCCCCAATTTGGCAGGGCCTAAATTTCAAAATTAAACCGTGAGACCCATCATTGCACTGGCACAACTGATGGACCCCCATTATTTTCTCCTGGGTTTGATGTCAAAGGCTAAGGAGTGAGGAAGTCAACCTATTTTGGAGGATGATGGGTCAGTTGGGTCAGAAAAGGGTTGTAGTCAAAGGCCACAAAAAAGCCAACTTTCTAATAAATAGGTTGACTTTCTCACTCTTTCAGCCCAACATAGAAGGAATGTAGCTCCCTTGGTATGTGTTTATAGTTACTTCTATGTGGTGCGCTGGGTTTAGTGAAAACCCAACAAAGCATATACTGATGGTAGAGTGCAAACTATACCAAGAATGTCAGGGTAGAGCACACACTATACTGGCATCAATAGGGTGGTGGGTGGTTTCATGAGGTTCACTGGACATTTTTGGATACAAGCAACAAAAAAAAAGCAGCCAGACTTTATCTTACCAAACACTTAAGTCTTTTCAAGATCTTTTCCTTGGGCATTGAATCCCTTTTCAATTTTGCAGACCATTTGAAGCATGCTTTGACACAAACTTGAATTTTATATATTTCTAATATAATTTATGTCAGTAATTGCATCTTCTGAAAACAAAAATGCTTTCCATGGAGTGTATCATTCCTTATTACATCATGAAAAAGTCAGAGTCTTGATTCTAAAATAGGTGTGGAAGCATGCTCTTGCCAGATGTGGTAGTCTTGCATTTCCTGCAGGAAATGCACAACTACAACAGCTCACAGTAGTGAGGGTATTACTTGTTCTGATGGAGCATCCAAGCTTTCAAAGATGACTGAGGCATGCAATTTTTCATAGATTCATTTCCATTTATGAGACAGGACTCAATATGCCATGTTGATGGCATCTTCTTCTGACCTCTCAAGAGGTGGTGATGCAGCCAGAAGAATGAGAAGCTGCCCTCAATCTTTTCCCTATGCTTTTGAGCCAGGTGACCTTGGTTGGTGTTGGGTAGTCCCAGAAAAGCAATTATTCAGAATTTCACATTTGTGATGGTGTTATAAATGGTCTTTGAGACCTTGGTTGAACTTGTGTTGCTGGAATTTGCACTATTAGAAACCTAGAACCTTGTTCTGACTTGGAAGGTGATTATGCAAGACTCATCAGCTGGTGACCCTTTTCAGAACAAGATGTTTCTGCATGATTGCATTCATTGCTGCAGGCCCAACCCCAACTCGTGTCTGGATGTTCTCAAAATTATTTCCATTCATCTCAAATATCTACTATACAGCAATCATATTTTCCTTAGTCATCACAGCTTCTCACTTATAATAGCATAGTTCTTGCTTCAGGGGAAATTGCCCCCATTCAAAAGTCTAAAAATTACTCAAGCAGTGCACTATCAGATAGTGCTTCCTCCTGAAAGCCATGTTGTAAAACTTCAAATTTCCCCATTGGGTTTCAGCCACTTTTGATAACTTTAAAAAGTAATTGAGTGTCATGTCTTTACATGAAAAATCTATTTCTAATGCAATCCAAACATCATCCAAAAACAAACAAGAGCATTCAATTGGGTCAAGAAAGCACAGAACTCCCCAATTTTTCACACTGGCTGCTACTGACTGCTTGCATGAGAAAAATTATAAGCTCAAAAGGAGACCTCAAATGGCAGCCAACAGGAAATTTCTGAGTCCTTGATATCTCACTTATTCTATAATAACTGCCAGAAATTTGTAGGTTGATTCATGGGAGAAAGAAGGTATTGCTTTCTGGGCATAAAAATAAAAGTCCAAATTTGCAACTTATTCTATTTCAAAATAAAAGTATAATATGACACCTCCTTGGGAAGCCTTTCTCAAATTGTGTAAAAAAAAAAAACAAAAATTTCATCCTATTTTCATCATCTCAAATCAATAGGGGTGTTTCCACAAAAAGGCACAGGCACTAAATTCCTCTGATGAATTTCATGTGGCTCAATTCACACTTTAGCATTGACTGTGAAAAATAACAGAGGGCTCTTCTACACTGTTTCCAATTTGAATTGTTACCCCCCCCCCCCTACATTCCATTGAGTGCAGGAAGTGACGTCTCACACATGGGTGGTCATATTTATCACCTGATGAAGTGGAACACAGGAAATTTGTGTTTTCTTCATTCTCCATTCCAGGGGGGTGGTATGAATTCAACCCAGAAACAGTGTACTAAAAGATTTGAGATTAATTTATTTAAATGAAAATACTGCACATCTAAAATTATACTCAAGAGCAGTGGTTCTGTTGGAAACTGTTGCAGCTGGTAGGCCTACTTGTATGTGAATTCTACCCACATTAAACAAGGCCAGACAATGTTTATAATTCAATTAAAGAAAACCTCAGCACTGAGCTCAATGAGATAAACATTAATCTTCAACTGTCTCAGGCTAAGTATGGAGACACATATTCCCAGCCAGCATGTAGAAAATGAATGCCAGCAGCAGCACTACATCAAGTTTTGCTGAATTGACAACAGACTCAATCCTTCAATGGCCATCTCCCAACACAAAAATAGTAACTTTGTTTTAGGCCAGTAATACTTGCCCATTTTCCAGCATTGCATATACAATGGCCCATATGTAAGTCTATTGAAGGATTTTTAGCGACATTAATTTCATATTCACCAGTGTGTGTCATTTATAGACCATATTATTCTTGTTTTTTTTTAGATCCTATTGATGTTTAATGCTGAAATAACTTATACTTACAAAAGAACAAAAGATTTTAAGGCATTGGTTTTATTAATCAGGTAAACTTACTTATAGCCACACTGTATTATTGCTTAGTGAGCATACCCTGCACAAGCTCACATGGCTCATTGTAATATCTCTGGATGCATCTTTACGTAGGCCTATCTGCGCTGGAGCAGTGTTTTTGGCCATAGGAAGGGCAGGAGGGAAAAAAAAAATTGCCTGGCTAGTGAAAGTAGGAAAATCTTTTTAGGACTGATTTATTCACACTAGTAGCTCAATATCAGAGTGGAAGCAGCACCAGAACCCATCATAGGTTCATAGAAAGTTAGTCCAGCATATATTCCTTCTAGTGATTCAATATAATCAGGTGCCAGACTTAGCACTGACTCCAGGTTATCAGTACTCAAGCCTGGTCAAGATTGGCACTCATTAAGTTCCAAGTGCTACCTCAAGTAAGGTTAACAGGCTGTCAGAATCAGGATATTTTGCAGAATAAATCTGTCTAGGGACATGAATATTAAATTTCCTATTGACCTCAATCCATAATAATTTGGCACCTCAGATTGCTTTGGATGCTGGGAACAGTATGAGAATCAGGCTACCAAAATTATATCAAAACAAGTTTATAATAATGTGCCATATTATTAGATTTGACAAAAAAAAACAGGAGAAAATTGGGATAAAATGTGATTAAACCAGATTTTCAGGAATTTCAATGAAAGGGTGCTCCTGTTTTTGAGTGTGAGAAAAACTTTCAACTAGGTGATGCAAATACATCTAAGACAGAATGATGTCCGTCAATTTTGGCTTTCTTCCAAGGCCTAAAACAATGAAGGCTTGCATTTGAAATTTTTATTTATTTAAAAAATTTTTAAAACTTGAAAAACAAAATGAGTTCTTGAAACATCTTTCATGTAATTTTTTTCGTGCACCCTGTACAAGAGTTTTCCAATTTCATGCATCAACTTTCTAATAGAAGCATTAACCAAGATAGAGTCTCTCTAGCCGTTGTCCCTCCCCCAAGACCACCTTGACCTTGCCACCCAAATTTTTGGAGGGTGGAACATGGGAACTGCTGGGATTGGAGAGCTAAGATTTTATTATAGTTTCCACTAGGGCATCTGATAGCCATTAATTTTTTCTTCCAAATCTCAGTCAAACAAAACACAACATTCCTGAAAATTCATTCACCTGAGAAGGAATCATCCTCAGACTTTTTCTGATTCATCAAGTCCCTGTAAGATGAATGTTTCCACATACAAGTCATGCTTCTCTTCACCTAGACTTTTAAGTTCATTTTAGTCTAGAAATAAACTAGAAAACGCAACTTTCTTACAGACCAACGAACCTTACGTCACCTCACATGACTCTGTCAAAGTCATGCCCAATAGCATATATTCATAATAATATTACACAAAAAACATTTCCACAAATCTTGAAGGCAGATGAGCATGTATTAAGAAAAGCAGTAAACCAAATGATCCCAGACATACAAAGTGAAGATGCATGAGAAATGCACTCAACCATGGAGTTCACTCTACTCCTTCATCATCTTTGAAACCTGTTTCATCGAGCAGTTCAAGAAGAACATCATAAACAGGCTTGAAAGCACGCCTGTATCCTCGTTTTGTAAGATGGAGATAATCCCACATGTCATTGTGGGAGATGAGTCCATCTGGATTCACAAATCCATTGCCTATGTCTACCAGCTGCACCCTATCAATTGTGCTCACAACACAAGCCAAACCGGTGTTTATGGACTTGATCTTCTCTCGCAAGGGATTAGGTCCTCGACCTCTTGGAGGCACAGTCTAGGAAGACAAATCATAACTCCATATGAATTTTCAGACAAAAAAAGCATAAGATGTGGCATTCATTCTCAAGTTGTGAAAATTTATGCTGAAACCTCATTTGGATAAAGGGGCCTTAAAAATATTAACCATCAAGGGTTAAAACACTGATCTCTGTGGTACCATGTGACACACCAATGTGTCACATAGCAGTTAGTGTGTCGAGTGAATGAGCCCCTTTTGCCTCAAAGAAGCCCAGGTATTTTTTAAAGAACCATTAACTAAAAGAGGTTTCAATATTCAGGCTTTAGAACCTGGCAAGAATCGAACAAGCATATTGATGTTAGTTGGATGCTCTTCCAGTTGAGATATAGGACCTCCTCACTTCTTGACCTCTTCCCCCTTGCCTTTCTTACACAAGATAGCAAAAAATTATTTTCTCCCCTCAACAGCTCAAAATATGAGATAAACTAGGATGAGTATTCCAGTTCAGACTTCCTAAAATCAGACACATGGCACAGATTCTGAAATGTACTTTTTGTGCAAAAAGTTGGGTATCATCTATGAATTTTTATACCAACTTCCTATATATGCCTAGCAAATCAATGCATCCTAAGTTTTCTGTCAGTAACCCAATCTGATAAATACCAAAACCAATGTCTTAACCCTTTCAGTACAGAGTTTGGCAGTCATTATTGTCATCCATGGACTGAGTTAGTTTTATGGAAGATGTGCAACATGGATATGGGTGCGGATTTGGGAACGCATTGGCCCATATGTGTTCATAGTCCTAAGGAGCAGCTTACTACAAAACATGCATACATGTTTACAGTCCAAAAGGCACAACCTACTATAAATGTGTATACGCATTCACAGTACTTAAAGGGTTAAAACTCAAAAGGTAAGAAGCATGAAGAAGGGGCAAAGGAGGGGAATGGGGTTCAGGACAGGAACAAGAGGGAATTGTTTCCTTTGTAATCCAGGTCAGTGAGATTCCCTACAAAAGCCTCACTTGTTAACCCTTGCTTGGCCAAGGGGGGGGGGGTTTGTACTTCTGACCTAAAATGAAAAAAGCAAGTCTTTCTGAAAATCTTGCAGTTTCGTTTGGGTTTTCAGTACTAATAACATCAAATGGATACATCTATGAAACCTTCCAGCCCTCAATATATGTATATCAACATACTTACCTACATATACACATATATCCACACACATTGAAAGTGGATCAGCTCTCTAGAGAGGGGACATAATATAATATCACTAAAATAGATTTAAAATTTTCTAAATGTCAATATCCTTCCAGGATATGTTCTAATGGATTCCAAAATACAACCATAATTTTTAAAGAAATGTTTTCAATCAGGTAGTACAACATAATAAATATGAGTTGTGGGTCAAAATGACTCCCCACCCTCTTGGGCAAGTAAGGCACTTTTAAAGGGTTGTCCTTTTTTATTCAGCTGAAAACGCTCCTTAATTGTGTCACTAAGACTTATTTCCTGGAAAACCAGGACTGCTACAATTCAGTAATGGAAAGAAGAAACTTTGGCTCACCTGGGTATAAATATCTGCATTAATATTGGGGGAGTTACTGCTAGCTGATGTTGCCAATGAATTCAAAACAAAGCTAAAATTGTTACTTGATTTATTATCAGAAAATATCAAGCCCTGCTAGTCCTCTAGAACCTAATGATTATCTGAAAGGATTTCAGCTTTCTCCAGAAAACAGATTAGGGCCATGCAATTTCATGACAAACTTACTAAAAGAAGAATTGTTGCTTCTGGCTGTTTCTGGCGAATGCATTTGAGAATTGTCTTGATCCCTTCTACAACTTGTTCAGGTGTATGCTTATGATTGTTTGTCCCCACAAGAAGGATCACGACCTGTAGCAAGAAGACTCTCATATTTTCTTCATAGTCTCCTATCACACACTGGCAGGCATAACATGAAAATTAGAAATCATACATATGATTGAGCCTAACAATACAATAACATCATGAAACAGAGTACAATGTATGAAGCCAAAATTAGCCATGAATTTCAGTTGCAATTTTCCAGAAATTCATTCATCATCACCAGCAAAAGTAAATTGAAAAAATGTTTCAACATCAAAATTATATTTCAATTTCAAGATCTACCTATGCTTGGGAGACATGAAAGCCATCATCAGAGAAAGTCAAAAGAGAATCTCAGAGCATGAAATTTCATCTGTTTTGAAATACAAGGTGGGCCAGAAGTAATGACTCACTCTTTAAAACACTATAATTCAGGAAAGGTTGCATATATTTTCAAACAACTTGTGTTGGGTAGCAATATCAATCTGCAAAACTGGTCACACAGGAAGTAACATGGAGCATGTATGTCTGCTTCTTGAAAAAAAAGCAAAGTTTGCTGTGCGAGATTATTTTCATAATAAGACACTATGCTTAAAGTTAAAGTGCATCTCCTTCTGCAGCTTCCTTCAATCCAATCATTTATTATCCAACAGTGGATACCATGCTCACCTTTGGTTGAATTATGTCTAATTCTCCATTTTGAATCCTCCAAAGTATATGCTGAGTCTCATCACCACCAATTCCAAAATTCAATGCATGGAGTGGTTCAAACCATTGTTCCCAAACTTCTGTGTTGGCCAAATGTGCTATCAGGGAGTCTCCAATGAAAAGGACATCTGGCTCCTTTAGCTTTGCCTCATTCACAAAACGTGCATGCTAAAAACAACAAAAATATATTTTATAAACCAAAAAAGTATGACATTCAAACTCAAACCATGCAAATTTTACAAGGTCAGGTATGATGACAGTTTTGGATACATTGATACATCAACTCAAACTGGAGTTGAACCAATATAAATATGAGACATTGGATATCAGATGATATCAAGAGCATCAGAGTAAATCAGCATCAGATTATACCCACATGATCAACCTAACATCTAATAATACTGCCTGTCTTTGGTTTCAACAGAGTAGGTCACAAATCTTTCTCTCTCTCTTTCCAGGCCAGCTCCCAGCCAAGGAGAAGACACAAACTCCTCATTCTCTTTCTTTTCAGCAATCTAGATGAACCTATAAGAACCATGGGTTGAATTTGCATTTCCCCATGAAGTCTCCCTCATGCCTTTCCAAAATTTGAGCTGAGATCAGTAACTGCCCCAGTCTTCATGAACCATGTACAAGCTTAGTGCCTCATATATAGTTTTTCACTTTTTCACTTTTTCCATTGAGGCCATCTCAGAGACAGTTAGGTACACGAATGGGTTAAGCAGATAAGTGATCATGAGGGCCTTCCAGTTGATAAGCTGTGCCTAATTTGATGCAAGAACCACTACTCATTTGCTCCTGCAGCTTATCATCTCTCCATATAAATGACCATCACTCTCCAACTCCTTAACACATCAACTGAAACCTTTCTGATTCTGATACCAGATGTCTAAGAGTGTCTAATGTCCCTTAATCATAATATGAGAGATAATAATTTCATCCTCATCAACTGCTACTTATGTCTAATACTTCTCAAGGATGTGTGAATCATTGTCTTGTGGAAGAAAAGACACACCTGCCTGACACAGGTCCCAAGACAAGAGAACAGTCCTGACTCAAGCGAATCACTCATACCTGATATTGTTGAATGTCACTAACTAAAGTGCTAGTTGGCAGAAGGCCTCCTTTGATTAGCAACCTAATTTGATGAAAATGCTTACTTCCCAGAAATTGCTTGAAAGAATCACCACTGGGAGTTTATGATAAAGACTCCAGGCCAATTCATAATTATATCTGAGTTTCAATACATTCTAGAATTCTCCTCCCATTCCCCAACTTGCATCTAATGTAATACCAATTTTATAGTACATCTGCTGGAGCTGAAACACTTTATATACAGGTTAAATCTTAAGTCTGGAAACAAAGATTTTACAATTCTAATTTTTTTGCTTTATGTTGTTTCTTGCAGATGTAGTTTGTAGCATGTGAATAACACCTCAAAGTCTCTGACAAAAGAATGCATAGAGATAATCCTTATGAACAGCCAAAGCTCTTTGAGAGAGTTTGCTGAAGAAATTAACAATAAACAGTCTAATTGACAGCCAATTTCAGTGCAGTTGTCAAGTCAGTTAAAAAATTAAAGGAAAAGGGCAACAAAAAATAAACTATGACATGGCCCTCCCAGGGCAGCAACTGATGAAGCAACAAACACATATTTGGAAGATAAGGACTTTTGTTTAGGGGGATAACTCAAATTTCATGTACTAAGTTAAAATCTGAGATGTGGAATATCTTGAGGAGTGTACTTCTCAGGGATGTTCAGAAGTCATGCCTGAGATTCTCAAGTGTACAATGTGAATGGGTGAAGCAAAAGTAAATGTGCATGAACAAAAAGGGAGAACATTTTGAGCATGTGATGTATAACTTATGTATCCACACCAAAGATTCACCCTGCAGACTATCTGCAAGTACTCTCATTCAAAAAGTGACAGAAGTGCTACACAGAAATGTCAATAGTTTGCTATATATCCCCCTTACATGCTAAAGTAGTGCCACAGAAGCCTACTTACCATGTCCTTCCATCTGCCATCTCCTTGCCAATCATGAAGAGGGGCTGGAACAGCAGCTGAGTTCTCTCCTTCCATCATTAAATCAATACTTTAGCAAAGAATATCATACTTCATCCATTGGAAAGACCTAGCAGGAAAATGCCCTCTGGGCAACACACTTCCAAACTCTTCAATTTAGAAAAAAAATCAAATGCAGGTATTTAATATCAAGAATAGCCTGAGCATAGCCTGAAGTCATATATGAGGTATGATAACAAAAAAGACCATAGACATTTACCCTTCATAACTCTGCATTTGCTGGAACCATACTTGTGAGATTTGTAAAGCCCATAGGCTATGTTCTTAACACCCCTTTGAAATTCCAAGCAAATTCATTCTGCTATAGGAAAGCTATGAACAACTCCTAAAAAGAAATTGCTAAATGGAAGTATAATTATGTACATAACATATATAAGTGCATTATTGACTACTGGTAGGTTCAGATGACAGCCAGGATATGTTCCAGCAGCCTTAAAGGGGTTAATTACACTTGGATGAAAAAATCCATGTTATATGAATTATACTCAGGGGCAGGTAATATAAAAAATATGGCCAAAAAGTGCTAAAATATGGAATTCAATGCCTCCCCGAAGATAGCACCATTTCCACAGGGAGTTATTTTTTGGCTGGAGATGTTGCACAAGGAAGGAATAATGAAAAAGAATGCATCTCCATGTAACCAAAAATATAAACTACAATTGTTAAACATGGACATAGAAGGCCTGCTGACTGACAACAAAAATCAATAGTAGGCCTAATAGGCTCCAAGGTTCCAACAGTTTGAAAAGTTGATTCAACATGCCAGAGATTAAGTTAATATAACCTATTTAAACTTTCAGTTCATAACACATTGGATGCCATGTGCATCACCAGAGATACATTTTGCATATTAAAAATTCTGATTGACAGCCAAAGTATTGAGTATTTACCTCCCCACCCTCACCTACAGGATGGGAAATAAGTTCTGCCCCTTCAGTTTCTTCACTGCACCATTTAAAAAAAATTATGCCCCTTCAGTTTCTTCACTGCACCATTTAAAAAAAATTAAAGAAAGAAAATAGATTTAATAAAAACTAAACATTTCAGAAAATTTTAAACAGTGCATTCTTCAAATGTCCACATGCTTTCACACAAGCCTTAAGTTGATGATGCCTGTCAAGGGGTGCAGCTCAGAGTCTCCTGAGGAATCTCCTTCTATGCTCCAACAAGGGACCACTTCAGCAACACAACACTGGTGTGTCAGCAGATCTTGGCCCCAAAGAGTAACCATACAGAGTAGTCCAAGGGGAAGAGATATGGAGTTAATGGGGGTGGATATACATCAGAATGTCAAATGCAATAACACAGAAAGGTAGCAATATTGAAGGGTTAGATGTCATAAAATGTTGCTTATGCATAATGTCTATTAAATGGGACCAGAATTCTAAAATAACAACAAAGAGGAAATGTCAAATCATGTCAAGTCTGTTGGAAAGACACAAGGCCACTTTTACCCACTACCTTGTCAGCTTCATTTCCATCATGATGCTTTGTCTAGCAGCTTGGCAATGTCTTTGCAGATAATTTAACCCTTTAATTGTGACTGAGTCCCTTGATGAAGGCATTGCAAATGGCTTCCATGCAAATGTGACGTGTGCACTTCCCTTGTACATTATCTGGCTTCTGCTTTCAATTCTCTCCTTCACCAACCTTCCTTGGCCTATAATGACTGGAATGCCAATGACCAGCTGCATTGATGGTCAAATTTCACTATCATAATTTTGACCTTGATTGCTTTCCCAAAACCCATGTTGTATTGGAAAATGTTGACTTAATGTGCACCATGTAAAGAGTGAAGAAAGTTCCATTCAACATTTTCTCCATCTACCTTTTCTCCTCTAGACATAGCTGCATCTTTAAATTGTCTCCATCAACATTTTTACCATTGACTACTTCCTGGCCAACAGTTCTCCCTTCAACATTCTGAAGTGCATTGGATGGGATCTAGTCAGTCTGCCTGATAAAGTCCAATATGTTGTGCTCCAACCATTGCTAAGTCACCTTAGCAAAGGGGCTGAGGAAATGTCTTGCTGGGTGCAACACTCTTTGTGGTTGAAGATTTTTCAACACATTGCCTTACCAGAATCTTCAAAATCAGCTTAAGGTGCCATTGTCTCCTATTGGCTCTTTCTGGCACAAAAATCAGGTCTGTGTAGCCACTTGCTGAAACCACAATTGACTTATGCTGCTGAGAGACAATTCTCTCCTCAGCTGGAATCTTTATTACATTGGTGGCCAGCAAGTGATTGTTCTGGGCCTTGAAGGCCTGCTGTGTTGTAAAGATCTACTCATCTGAGGATGTGCTCCACATCTTGATCCATGAACTGTCTCAAAAACCTTCTGCTTCCATTGATTCTCTTAAGTTGGGTAGCTGCTGTTAGTCTGGGATCTGAGGACTCTGTAGGTTCACATGCAAAGGTCATTTATGACCAGCAGCTGCGTTGATTCCCAATTGACCTTTATCTTAACTGCCAACTTCCTTATTTGACTAATTTTTTTATTTTGCCTCACCTAACTCTTCACATTCTTTTTTGTCACTATTGTCTGAACAGTGTAATTACAGCTGCTTCTTAATCAATCATCTGTGCTCCCAGTCTCAGCCAAATACTTGACAGATCAACTAACAAACTTTTGCAAGAATTCTTTAGCGCCCAACATCCTCATGATGCTTTTGAGTAGCCCAGCTAATGCAAAGCCACAACTGCACTTCATCATTCCATCAAAGTTAGGGCCATGATTGCTTAAGCAAAACCTGGACTGTAAATGACAACATGGACCCTCAACACTCATAATATACACCTGATGGCAATAGAGAATTTAGAATATGTCAACACATTCAATTCTTTCCCATTCCTTGATGTTAGTTCAACATGAGATATAACAGGCATGCTAGGCCCAAAGGTTAACATAAGCAGTGCTCACATGAGAACTGCCTGCTGTTGAAAATATGAAGAGAACTTATTTGTCACCCTGTATGGTCACAAACTGAGTCATGACAAAAACAATGTACCACCTGTCAAATTTAAGTGTTGCCTAGGATTGTGAACACTGGAAGAAACTCCTCTGCTGATTGAGTTGTGATAAGCAGTTTGGCATATGTATGCATATTGTCCTTTTTTTTTTAAATTACACCTACTGTCATTATTCTTGAAGCTACACCTAGCCCTAGGCTATCCAGACATTTTCTTATTGCAGCAGTCCTCTTATCGATACCTGCCAGTCATCAGTTTAATGCTTCAAATTGAATGGTGTTTTCTGCACGACTGCAGCTACATTTTGGTATGAACACAGAAATAAGGTAACCATCGGTCCCGAATTTTTTACAGAAACTTTCACAGATATTCCATTGGAAGGTACTCCAAGATCAAGGAAAGCTAGTCACCCAACTTAATCCCAAGTTTTGGTTTACAAATAGTACACCAAACTAATACTGACACCTATTGCTGGCCAAAGACTCTACAACCATGCTTAGACCATTACAATCCTACAGCAGACGAACGGCCAATAAATAAGCAGCAAATAAACAGTACGAGGCCTAAACATAAAGCACGGCAATTGGAAGCTGTAAGGCACCATATCACTTTTCAGGTCAAGCAGTGCTGCCACCACCATTTCACGGCATCCGTATTTTCACGATTTCAGGTTTTCATCTGATTCACCTCAAAGTGGCAGAGGTTAAAATGATATTGACACTGATATCCTTCAAACAAGTCGAGGCAAAGTAAACTCGAAGACGAAAAAAAAAACTGCGCCGGACACAGAAGCTCGAAGTCATAACTGCCATCACGGTTCCCTCATTCCTCCGCCTACTTCATGTCGTAAAAAGATGGGTGCCAGTTTATTTTGTAAGCAATTTACGTCTGATGTGCAGGTGTCATGTTTCTTGGCACGTGACATCACACTTAGTCGCACTCCGACATGGCTGAGCGCAGGCAGGCATACTCAAGGGAAAATTAGGATTTCCATACATCTTATCTCGTGTTAAGAGTTTTTTTTTGTTCTGGTTGCATTTTTAATAATTTATTGTTATGATTTTCTGTTGGATCGAAGCCTAATCCTCCAATCTTCGTCGAAGATGTGAGCAAACTGAGTATTCACTTTCGCGAAATTTACAGATGCTTCTACTGACACCCTTTGACACCTTTACTGGTACCCTTCGACCTTAAAATGCTGAACGATTGTTATAGCACATGATAAGAGGAACATATCGCAACTCCAATTGCATGACTGAGACTGCTTGTCCTCTGTACTCAGCCATCCCAACAAACATAGTAGCGGTGTGGGAACGTTCCTCTAGAGTCCATTCAATGTCATCGTCGTTGAAGGTCAAAGTCCAACGTTGCGTGAATATTATAGCAGTGTTATGAGACTATGATACCTTCTTAAATCGCATTTTTGAATAATATTTATGGTGGTATCATGGAGCATGCATCGCCAAATAATGAATAAAATTGTTTTCCAAGAAACGGCGAAGAACCTATCCAGTGTTACCACCCCAGTAACACCAGATATTGGCTCAATGCTGGACCAACATTGGGCACGATGTCTTTACGTGTTGTCATTATTGCCAATACCAACTAAATATTGCTAAATATTGGCTTCCCGATATTGACATTCCATCATCGATCCAATATCTCACTGACGCGATGATCCGATGTGCCCAAGTTGCACGAAGTTTTTTTTGTGAAAATGTTAAAGTTCTCCTCTAGGCCACTAGATGGAGGCATGGGTCTCGCTTTTCACACAAAACACATAAGTTCCTCTTTCCATGGAATCATCCCTCACAAGAGTGTGTAGTACCTCATCATATGTCTCTCCTAGTCTCAATATAGCAATCAATAAAATCGGACACTTAATCATGTATTATCCCCATATTCGAGACAGAATCATGGAGCCAATAAACAAGCTCATATTCCGTATGATAACCCCTTGGATGAATATTTGCCTCTTATCCTACAAGAGTCTCTGTAAATTGAATGAGGTTGTGGAATTTTTCATCATTTCCTCATT